ATGCAATTTGTTTCTCTGTAAACGTTATAAAAACTACAGTAAAAACTCTTAACACAGCATAAAGCACATCAAGGTCACTAGCTTTATTTACATGATGTACATGTACAACATTTCGTAAAAAAATAACTTTACTAGTTTTAATGCATTGGTCCCAAAACAATCATTTTGGAGAAGACACACTTTCATTCCTGTGACAGGATCTCAAAGAGAATCAAGGACATTGTACTCCATTAAAATTTTCCTACAAAAATGAAAAAATATAAAATATATAAAGGCACTTCGAGAAATGAATTATGAATTAAACCTGTTGGATCACAGGTATTATGAGACAGAAACAACACCAAAGAACAACCTTTTGCAAAAATACTATTAATATATCAAATAATGGCATATTAAATTTGATATATTAGCATGGTTAAAACTGTGCAAGAACCACCAATAAAACAATTGGTATTGAATATTCTTTTGTGGTGCCTATAACCTTATATGTAAGTTTCAAATTGCGTTAATGAAAAAAAATATCCCCATCTTCATAACACTATGACAAAATCATACCGAGTGAAAGTGCTTTTGTACAAAACAATGAAAACAGCAAGGGTTGTGAAGTAATGTAACACCAATCATTGGCTGATAACAGCTAGCTGTCCATACATGTCCCATATATACAGGATGTGACATGCGTTTTCATTTCCTATGAGATTTATGAAACGAGTTTAAGATTTTTTCAATAGGCGAGCTAAAATGAAAAATTTGTGACGAGTTTCATAAATTTCATAAAAATTGAAAACGGGTGAAAGATCCTTTTTATGTAAAACAACAATTTTCATGCAACCTTGAAATGTAAAAAGTCGCCATTTTGACTCCAGTGCGCAAGTCTATGACGTCATGTATTTGTCCTAGGTGTGAGGCCACAATTGAAACAATTGAAACTTACAACCAATCACAATCGCTGGTAGGTCATATTACATGGGTTAATATGCAAAAACATATGACATGAATATATTCACTGGATAACACAGTACATTGTGTGATAAAAACAAGTAATTACCAACGACAGATAAATATTTGCTGAATACAGCTTAAATTAATATTTATGGTTCCCTCAATAAAGTTGACATTAACATCAGTGCATACTGGGTATTCCCTTTTCAACCTTTGGTCTTTTATAAAGATAAAATGTTTAAAAAAAAAAAAAAAAAAATGACATCTGAACATTAAAACTTCCTTCAAGTGAGTTTAGAGCAGTTAAACATGTTTTTCTCTGTAAATAGTAGACAGTGACCTTGACAGTAACACACATTCTTGTACAAGGTACTTTTATGTTAGGTTATTACCAAGTCTGATCAAAATCAATGCAGAAATGAAATTTAACTAATAAAAATTCTACATACATTTTATAGTAAAAACTATCATAATCTTTGTACCTTGAACATGGACTCGTTCGAGGTATTCACATAATCAAATATATGCTAAAAAACATTTTTTTTTTACATTGATGAGAACACTGACAAAGTGGCTGGACTATACAAACTAGGACCCTTACAGCATCTGATGTTTGAAGTCAGATCTACTGAAGCTGGTCTAGAACTTTAAAATTGTTTGAGATGTAATACATAGCTCACAGTTTTGATATTCACTTAAGGTCTATTGGTAAAAATCTTCCAAAAATACAAAAATACAGGACGGCTGGCTGGCTGGCAACCATTTTTCATTTTCTGATCTTTCTCAAATTAGACCATGCACAATTATGGATTAATTGGAATCTGCACACTAAGTTTCATTAAAATCCATTGAGTCATTTGTAAGAAAAAGCAGTAAGAAAAAGGTTTACAGACCGACTAACTTAATGAAGTGAATTCACTCTCTCGATCCTAACAAGTCCTGTTAAGGAGATTATCATCGCATTGAGGTACATAGTATACAGAGTGTATGCTTGAATATCTGTGATTTGACATGCACTGAAACAGCATACCTCACCCAAAAGTGTTTCCAGAAAATATATTCAAATACTTTTAAACAAACAATTAAAACTGAACCGTGTCTAACTTTCAATAATAAATGTGTTTGCTATTTTCATAATGTTACCATCATGTATGCTAATTAATTATATAATCTCCTTAAGCTAACTGTCAAAATACACGGCTATCAATATATTAAGTGCATTTTAAAAATACATACAACAAAATATGACAATCTCAAAATGTTACAGCAAAATACATCTGATGAAAATTTGTTCACATTCACAATACAGGGATGTTTACAAAAATATGGCTTGGCACTTTCCCAGCAATAAAACAATTGGTGTGGGAAATTCATTTGTGGTTCTTACATGATATGACAGTTTACTATGATATGTCAGTTTACCATGATATGTCAGTTTACCATGATATGTCAGTTTACCATGATATGTCAGTCAGTTTACCATGATATGTCAGTTTACCATGATATGTCAGTTTACCATGTCAGTTTACCATGATATGTCAGTTTACCATGTCAGTTTACCATATGTCAGTTTACCATGATATGTCAGTTTACCATGATATGTCAGTTTACCATGATATGTCAGATTCAAATTGTGTTAATGACAAAAACAATTTCCATCTTCATAACACTAAGACTCTTTCCCACTGTGTGAATGTGCTATTGTACAAAAAACAATGAAAACATTGAGGGTTGTGAAGTAATATAACACCTATCAGTGGCTGCTAACATCTGTCCATACACGTCCCATATACACAAATAGTTACCAACGACAGATAAACATATGCTACATAAACCTTAAATCAAAATTTATGGTTCCCTCAATAAAGTTGTCATTAACATCAGTGCATACTGGGTGTTCCCTTTTTCAACCTTTGGCCTTTAATAAAGATAAAATGTTTTTAAACTAGAAAATGTCTGCAAGACATGAATGCCCCCATCACCATGTAAAATGAGTTTCAGTGATGATGATGTTTGACGGGATGGGATGGACATGGACAACACTTTATGCCCCCCCCCCCATTTTATGGCGGGGGCATACAAATTTTAAATTGACATTAAAACTTCCTTCAAGAGAGTTTAGAACAGTTAAAAATGTGACCATGACAGTAACACAAATTCTTGTACAAGCTACTTTTATGTTAGGTTATTACCAAGTCTGATCAAAATCACTGCAGAAATGATTTGATGAATAAAAATTCTACATTCATTTTATAGTAAAAACTATCTTAATCTTGGTACCTTAAACACGAACTCGTTCAAGGTATTCTCATAATTAAATATAGCATGAAATTGATCAATTAAGACACACAAGTGAAGATCAGAAGTGAATGAATGCAGGTACATAAAAATGTCCATGCATATATGAGAGTTATCAGGAATATTCGACACATGACCGGAACCAAAATCGAAATTATATGTTGCCCTTTGGTGTTAAAAAATCCCAAGGAATGAAGCCGCTAGAGCACTGACAAGGATTTTCTAAAAATAGTTACAGTGACCTTGACCTTGACCCAACAACTGAATTGTAATCCTGCGACCTCTACAACAACCAGAAATTTATATTTATTTTGTGGTTTGTACTACCGACAAATATTTTTGTTCAAGGTCTTGTTGCTTAAGTATTATCAATATACTTACACAAAAAATGGTAAAGCGTAGAATTAGCACCTAGAATTAGGAAGATGGAAACATTCAGGACTAAGTTTTCAAAGCATGGTTAGCTTCATAATAGTTAACCAAAACAATTTCATTACTGATAATATTTCTTAGTTGATCAGACTTTGAGCAACTTGGTCCGGGTCATTATCCAATTAATCATGGGTCTATAATTTATCGACCGTAATTAATGAATCAGTCAACATCAGGTCATTCTGACCTAGGATTATCACAAACATTAAGAGTTCAAACATCCCATCAAATTCTACAGAAAAATACAATTGCAGAATTTTAAGGGGGTCTTTCTTCAGTCTCATTGAGGAAAAATTATGTCTTGGTTATATGTAAAGCTATACACCTTACTGTAGACAGAACAGTTAACAATGCTAGTCTACTAGCCATCATCTTCATTGTCCTCACTGTGTGGGGTCTCCTCCTCCTCCTGGACAGTACAAGGGGCAGCTTCAGAGGGAGCAGGAAGTCTAATGAAGAAGGCATAACTCGGGAATGTTTCGGGAGGATCTGTTGTCCAGGGTTCAAGATCGCCTTCTTGATTGTTCGGGTAGTAGTACCATCTTCCTGTTGGTCTGCCTTCGCTGTCTGTTCTACCTTCTGGTATGAAGGCACGGGACATATAGTGCCCTAGAATGTGAAGATCCTCGTTTCCAGGTCGAACAAATGTGAAGAGGAACATCATATACCTGTAATGAAATCACATTTTTCTAATAATAAGTAAATAGGAGACATCATTATGAACCTGTAATGAAATCATCTTTCTAATATCTAAATATATAGGAGACATCATAATGAACCTGTAATGAAATAATATATGTAATTACTGGGTATACCAAGTCATCAGTGTAATATGGAGGCTGGATCACAATATCAGGAAATCTCAAGCTTTCAAACAATATCCACATGACCAGTTCCTAAAAATCTATATCAAAGTTTATAAAACGTTATGTCTCAATTATTTTTTTAAATGCATATATAGCCTCTACCATGCCTAATCTCTGAGAAGTTCAGACAAAAATGTTTAAGTGAAGAAAAGAATAGAGTATCTATTACTTCTGAATTACAAAATATAATTTCACACATTTACTTAAACTCCTATCAGGAGGGAAGGAGTTTAAGATTAAGGAGTTTTATCAGTACTCTATGAAAGCATGATCAAGTTCACACTCAGGAATATTTAGACTAGAAGAATGAGAGGAAAACTCAATCAGATATACCTTTGTCATGAAATTATTATTTGGCATTACACTAAAATATCAGTATGAATATTTAATGTGATCAAAATAGATAAGACTTGCATAAAGGTCACCCTAGATTGTGGTTCTAGCAAATGTCATCTGAATGAAGACAGAATATACATAATTCTATTCAAAAATGTCGGCCTTCATATGTACGTTTATTAGAAAAGAATGAAAAGAAGAGAGGACCAGACAAATTGGGAGTCTTAGAAAATTTAATCAAACTCACATGTTTCATCCCACTTCGTGGGCCATCAACAGTAAAATAGAACAATGATGTCATCGTATACTTGCAATGTCTTTCAAAATATGGTATAAGATTTTGCGGTATTTTCATAATCAAGCCGAGAGTATAAAGGGCAGAGTGTTTCTAACAAAATGTGATATATCTAAAAAGGAAATAATGTAGTCTATCATAACGACCCCCATTTGTAATGTACTGATCGATGTTAATCATCAATTAAATATAGTGTTAAAAGATAATATATTGGGTGATATAATTAAACTGTAGTTAAGTAAAATTCACATATTTCCATATCTCGCAAGTGACGACGACGCACTGGAAAGTCACCTCCGGATCCAAATGGTTTACCAACCTCTAGGTCATAAAATGGAGGCATTAGATTATCCTGGCAAGTCTGCTTATCCCTGTTTCTTATTCACTCTTTAAATGAATAACCATGTAGGTGATAGATATATTCTTATACCATTTTTTCACAGACATTGCAAGTATACTATGACATCATTGGTTTTTTTACTGTTGTAGACGTCACTATATACCGTTTTTGTTGTTTGTCGCTAGGCAGGGCACCGCTTTCTGTTCTCTTTTTCATTTTGAAAATAATGCATTGTTCTGATGACGGCCGACATAGTGGGCCAAAACATGTAAAGGGGAATACATTTGCAGAGACTCCCCATTTGATGTTGTTTGGTCATCTCTCCTTTGAATTTCGATTACTCTTATGGTCAGACTATATATAGTGAATTCTTATTAGGAATCCACCAACTGGGGTAAACAGAACTTTACTGAACATCCACTAGCAGATGTTGGTTTTGATTTTATTTGTATTTTCAAATAAAGATCAGAGTGATTATTTATGACATTTGCCAGAATCGACCAGATCTTAATTACTAAGGAGTTAATAATCATTACCTCTCTCCAAACAGCTCTACAATCTCTCTATCATTGACAACTTGACTGTTTGGTATGCGATGACGTAGAGAGATCAAGTTCACCGCCAGGATCAATGGTGGAGTTCCCGATTCAAATACAGCATTGCTGGTTGTCTGACCATTACACCTGTAGACAAACACCAATGTTTAATTCAAACAGAAAATCTAATGTGAACTGAAAGAATACTCTTAAAACAAATTTATATCAGAGGTTATATTTCGCTATTGTTGCATTTAACGTCAGTACCATAAATTCCTTAACACAACCAATCAGAGGGGTCTTGGCTCCTTAACACAACCAATCAGAGGGGTCTTGGCTCCTTAACACAACCAATCCGAGGGGTCTTGGCTCCTTAACACAACCAATCAGAGGGGTCTTGGCTCCTTAACACAACCAATCAGAGGGGTCTTGGCTAATTATCATTTGTAAGCTCCTTCTGGTCCTATGCTAGTTTGATTATTTTTCTTTATTTATCTTAGTCATGTCAACAGACCATTCACCTTGTGGTAACTTTTAAGTAAACTTGTGTTTGACATTTTATGTCCTTTAAAAAGAAAGATTTTTGTTTGTAGATCTCATAAATAGCAATATAACTACTGTAAGGCACAGTATGGGATCTAGATCCAAACAAACAAATATTTTTTGGATGCATATTACAGTGTACTTAAATAAGATATATGGGCAAAGAAGAATTAACAACAGTGCAGACAAGGAATTTGTCAAACTTTCAGGGCAATCCAACCCATTTTCAAGACAGAAACATGAACACTTATATATCACAACAAAGATAGATAGTCATTATAAAACAATACTAAAAACAAAAAGAGGCCCAAGAGGGCCTGTATCGCTCACCTGAATATTTAAGCAGTCATAGCAAAATATTCTCATTAAATATTATATTACTCTGTGACCTCTAGAACAAATCCATTAAAATGTTGTTGAACTCTGTGACCTCTAAAGTAGGTTGAGGTCATTTTCATTCGCAAACTTTGGTGAGCTCTATCCCAAGAAGTCACCAGCCAAATATAAGGATTTATACCTTTCAGTTCTTCAGAAGAAGTTGTTCTAAGCGGTAGTCATATCTGAATCCTGTTACCTCTAAAGTAGGTCAAGGTCACTTTCATTCGCAAACTTTGTTGGGCTCTTTCCCAGGAAATAACCAGCCAAATATTAAGGTTCTATAACTTCCAGTTCTTTAAAAGTAGATCAAGGTCATTTTCATTCTCAAACTTTGTTGGGCTCTTTCCTAGGAAGCTACAAGCCAAATATAAAGATTCTATACCTTTCAGTTGTTCAGGAGAAGTCATTTGAAGTGTCTGACACATTTGACCCCTGTGACCTTGAAAATAGGTCAAGGTCATTTTCATTCTTAAACTTTGTTAAGCTCTATATATCACAACAAAGATAGATAGTCATTATAAAACAATACTAAAAACAAAAAGAGGCCCAAGAGGGCCTGTATCGCTCACCTGAATATTTAAGCAGTCATAGCAAAATATTCTCATTAAATATTATATTACTCTGTGACCTCTAGAACAAATCCATTAAAATGTTGTTGAACTCTGTGACCTCTAAAGTAGGTCAAGGTCACTTTCATTCGCAAACTTTGTTGGGCTCTTTCCCAGGAAATAACCAGCCGAATATTAAGGTTCTATAACTTCCAGTTCTTCAGAAAAAGTCATTTGAAGTGTTTGACATATCTGCCTCATGTGACCTTAAAAGTAGGTCAAGGTCATTTTCATTCTCAAACTTTGTTGGGCTCTTTCCTAGGAAGCTACAAGCCAAATATAAAGATTCTATACCTTTCAGTTGTTCAGGAGAAGTCATTTGAAGTGTCTGACACATTTGACCCCTGTGACCTTGAAAATAGGTCAAGGTCATTTTCATTCTTAAACTTTGTTAAGCTCTATCCAAGGAAGCCATCAGCCAAATATGAAGATTCTATACCTTTTAGTTCTTCTTCAGAAGTCGTTTGAATTTTTTGACATATTTGACCACTGTGACCTTTAAAGTAGGTCAAGGTCATTTTCGTTCTCAAACTTTGTAGGGCTCCTACCAACAAAGCTTTCAGCCAAATATCATGACTCTAGGCCTGTCCGTTCTTCAGAAGAAGTTGTTTAAAGGAAAAGTTGATGGACGAGGACGGACGGACGACGGACGACGCACCACGACATATGCTCACTTGCCCTTCGGGCGGTGGGGAGCTCAACTGTTTCAAAGTTATGACCCAGGGTCTACGTCTCCAAGGATGGGGCCTGACCCTCAGGGCCATCCTGGAAGCATATGTGCATTCACCTCTTTATACTCTTTATAGTCAGCAATGGTTTATATGGTTATAGGGTAGGGATCTCAAACATTTCCAAGTAAACTATTTTTGGCCCAACCCCTTACCCCGGGGGGTCAGCCTGTCCATTGGTTCCCCTTCACCCAAGGATGCTTCAGAACAAATATGGAACAAATCCTTTCATTCCTACAGAAAAAGGATATTAAAGAATTTGCTATATTTCCCATATAGGGCCCTGCCCCTCAGCCCACAGGGGGGCTAGACCCACCATTTCTACAAATTTGTTCCCCTTCACCTAAGGATGCTTCTGACCAGATATGGAACAAATCCTTTCATTCCTACAGAAGAAGAAGGATTTTTAAGAATTTGCTATATTTTCCTTATTTGGCCCGCCCCTCAGCCCCCAGGGGGGCCAGACCCACCATTTACACACAATTTGTTCTCCTTTTCCCAAGGATGCTTCTGACCAAATTTGGTCAATATCTGCTTAGTTGTTCATGACTAGTAGCAATTTTTAGGAAAAGTTGACGGACGCCAGATGCCGGACACCGCGCCATGGCATAACCTCACCGGTTCTTCGGACCAGGTGATCTAAATAAGGATTTTGAAGAATTTGCTATGTTTCCCCTATTGGGCCCCACTCCTCTGCCCCCAGGAGGGCCACACCCACCATTTACACAAAATTAAGTGCCCTTGGCCCAAGGATGCTCAAGACTAAATCAGGATAAAATCCCTTTATCCCTATGGTAGAAGAAGGATTTTAAAGGTTTTACCTCTATTTCCCCTAATCGGCCCAGCCCCTCTGCCCCCAGGGGGGCCACACCCACTGTTTATACGAAATTGAGTCCCTTTTGCTAAAGGATGCTCCAGATTAAATTAGGATTAAATCCCTTAATCCCTATTGTAGAAGAAGGATTATAAAGGTTTTACCTCTATTTCCCTTTATTGGGCCCCACCCCTCAGGTCTCCGGGGGGCCACACCCATCGTTTATAAAAACGGTGGGTGTGTTAAAAAGGATCAAACAGTGGGTGAGCTAAAAAGGATCAGAATGAAAAAATAACACCTACATGCACAATATCAGGTGGTAGTTATCATATACGAAAACTTCAATTGAAATTGGCCCCATAGTTTTTGGGGAATTTTCCGAACAAGGATTTTTCAACAAAGGGCAATAAATCCATAAAAAAGTGTCAGAATGAAAAAATAATACCTGGATGTACAACATCAGGTGGAAGTTATTATATCTGAAAACTTTGTTGAAAATGGCCCAGTAGTTTCGGAGGAATTCCGAATTGTCTGGACAAGGATTTTCCAACAAAGGGCAATAACTTTGTAAAACAAGAGGCCCAATGGGCCTGCATCGCTCACCTGGTATAAAACTCACACTTGTAACCTTAAAAGTGATCTAAAATGAAGCTACAGGAAAAATATCAGTATTTATGATTAAAATTCATTCAAAAGACCCTGTTATTATTTTTTGAACATTTCACCCCTGTGATTAAAAGTTGAACAAAGTCATTTTGTTGAACACATTGTATAGCCTTTCATCTCAGGATGCAACTTGCAAAGTATAAACATCCTGGGACACATGGTTATTCAGAAGAGGTTGTTTAAAGATTTAAAAAAAAAATGACCCCTGTGACCTTGAATATAAGTCAAAGTCATTCACTTTCACAAACAAAGTAGTCCTTGATCCCAGCATATGCTACTGACTAAATATCAACATCCTGAGCCTTTTGGTTATTCAGAACAAGTTGTTGAAATATTTTGAACATATTTGCTCCTTGTGACCTTGAATATGATTCAAGGTCATACATTTATACAAACTTGGTAGCCCTTGATCCTAGTATGCTACTGACCAAATATCATCACCCTGGGCATTTTGGTTATTCAGAAGAAGTTGTTTAAAGTTTTTAACATATTTGACCCCTGTGACCTTGAATATGGGTGAAGGTCATTCATTTGAACAAACTTTGTAGCCCTTCATCTCAGCATGCTACTGGCCAAATATCATCACCCTGGGCATTTTGGTTATTCAGAAGAAGTTGTTTAAAGTTTTTAACATATTTGACCCCTGTGACCTTGAATATGGGTGAAGGTCATTCATTTGAACAAACTTTGTAGCCCTTTATCTCAGCATGCTACTGGCCAAATATCATTACCCTGGGCATTTTGGTTATTCAGGAGAAGTTGTTTAACATTTTTGACATATTTGACCCCTGTGACCTTGAATATGGGTGAAGGTCATTCATTTGAACAAACTTTGTAGCCCTTCATCTCAGCATGCTACTGGCCAAATATCATCACTCTGAGCATTTTGGTTATTCAGAAGAAGTTGTTTAAAGGTTTTTTAATACAATTGACCCCTGTGACCTTGAATATAATTGAAGGTAATTCATTTAAACAAACTTGGTAGCCCTTCACCCAAGCATGCTACTGGCCGAATATCAACTCCCTGGCCATTTTGGTTATTGAGAAGAAGATGTTTAAAGTTTTTGACATATTTGACCCCTGTGACCTTGAAAATAGGTGAAGGTCATTAATTTTAACAAATTTTGTAGCCCTTCATCCAAGTTTGCTTCTGGCCAAATATCGACACCCTAGGCCTTTCAGTTATTAAGAAGAAGTGGTTTAAAGTAAAATATTGACGCCGGACGCCGGCCGGACGTTGGACGCCGCGCCACGGCATAAGCTCACTTGGCACTTCGTGCTAGGTGAGCTAAAAATCAGAATGAAAAAATAATATACTGATGCACAATTTCAGGTGGTAGTTATCATATCTGGAAACTTTCTTTGAAATCGGTCCATAGCTTTAGAAGTAGTCTGGACAATTAATTTCAGGATTTTTTCAACAAAGGGCCATAACTTTGTAGAAAAGGGTCAGAATGAAAAAGTAATACCTGATGCACAACTTCAGGTGGTAGTTATTACATAGAAGCTGGAAACTTTCCTTGCAATTGGTCCATACCTTTAGAAGGAATTGTCCGGACATTTTTTTTCTACAGACGGACAGACAAGCTGATTCCAGTATACCCTAACTTTGTTGCGGGGGGTATACTAACACCTTGTACATGGACACACATGTTAGTAAGTCATGCTAAGTACATGAGAAGGTGTGTGTTTTAAAATTTAGATAACATAGAAGTAACCTACCCTTCCCGACGGCATACTCCATGTTGAATAAAGTAGGACCTGAAAGCTTCCTGGAAACCTGTCGAACTGTAAGTGAAAAGTATTGTTAAATTCAGTTTCAAAATATTAAATGCAGTTAAAATTCAATTCAATGTAATTAAAGTTGAAAAGAAGTTAAAGGTGATGGAGCCAGTGTCAGTTGTAGATTCGTGGGTTGATCAGTGGGGCAAATACAAACCCACTTAATTGGCAATGCTTGCAGTTTGATATTATAAACATTATAAGAACCTGACTCATGCCATGGGGCTGGAGGGTCAGGGCCCAAAAAGGTCAAATAAAGTTTCAACAATCTTCTTTCTAGCCCTAGAGGTTATTTCATTGGGAAATAACATCTGCACGCGCATGGTGTATCTTCCAATAATACATGGCTATAGCTATTAACCAATAAAAAGTGTCATTACATCCAGGCCGTATATAGGAAACAACATTTTGGGTATAGTTTGCTTATTTCAGTGGAGAAAAGTTTTCAAACAGTTAGAATTATCATCATGTGATTGCAGTCGATGCTATCAAAATTAAGACCCTGACTCGCCCCCAGGCCTGAGGGATGAGACCCAAAATGGGTCAAATTGGCTAAAATTTCAACAATCTTCTTTTCAAACCAAAATAAGCTTGGAAAGAAAATTCCCAAGTTGCTTTACCTAAATTGTGAATAACACTATCCCTGGGTCATCAAATTATCCCTTGGGAAAGGGTTAATTTATCATTTTGTCAAGGAAACCACTTTAGGCATAATTTGATTACCTTGTACACGTTTTATTTGTTTTTGTCACATCCAAAAACCAAGTAACAGCTTTATCTCATTGATCAGTTGTTTACTGTCACACTTAACCATTCACAATTGTTCAGTCATTCCCCTGATATCTTAAAAGATGTTTTTTTCAATGTGTGGTCAGACTCCAATCGCTTTTATTAAACTGGTTTTGAATATTCCTTTTGGTGTTTGTTTTATACAGATTTTACTATAGTAGTGAAGTAACAATGGGACTCTTACACAAGGCACCACATGTGTATAATCAATGTGTCCAGAAATAGCATTACTCATTCAAAATAGTTATTGAACTTTTAACTTGACCTCAGTCTGAATATGTTTGCAGCAAGTTACCATGAAGGATGCCTGTACCAATGCCGAAAACTGGAAGTGTTAGAATCTGTTTTTATGGCATGAATATAGCTTTGATGATATATTTCTGAAAAGAACAATATACCTTGCGGGACTTTCGTGAGAACTGATAAAGATGAAATAAACAAATAGTATTCTGAGTCTAAAATTTCAGCGGGGCTAGACCTGGATTTGAACTCTGGACTTCAGATTGTAATGCTATCACTCTAACCAATTAAGCTACCTGGTCAATCAAAGTGTCCAGATCAAACTGTGCTACAGTTATATACTTTATATCCAAATGGAAGTTAAGGGGAGGTAATTCTATATATAGGCAATAATACATTGCAGTGGGACAGGGATCTTTAATTATCTAAAATAAAAGTACATTTCCAAACTTTTATAATTCACTTCTATAAAGATACATACACTTATATTCCATACAAAAGCATATCACAACCTGCACTTACGGATCAAAATTCCCCAAAGGGATGTTATACACCGGTAGTCCTAAAGAACTGGTGTGACATCCTTCGCAGAGTGTGTCACTCCTGTGACAAAGTTGCCTCTCAATGAGGGGCATTACCCTCTGACCTTCTGAGCTTAGCATATCGTAGACGTATGGCACTAGACGAAATTTTGCTTCTGCAAAGCGACCTTTCTTGCAAAGAAGGACTGCCTCCCACAGATGCTGCAAAGAAATTGCTATAGCTAAAGTCAGGTCCTCTGATTTCAGACATTGCTTAGAAGCTACTTTCACATTTCATCATTGAATTTTAAACTTTCTTTGTTCTCTAGAACTCTCAATATAAATTTCATTAAAATCAAAATCAATTTACCATTTATAAAGTAGAACTTGCATATTGAACCTAAAATGATTCACTAACAGGAGCTGTTATTATAACTGAAAACCAGAACATAATTTACCCGATATGAATCTGGAAATCTCCCTGCTAGTTCTTCTAAAAGTTGCAGGAATAACGGGAAACGAAAGATTTGGTGCAACCCGTTCAAAAATTGATCCATGTTGCAAGTATTTATTAAGGGAATCCCAATCCCACCTCCATGAGGAACACCTTCAAAGATTAACAGTTTGATTAGCAAAATATTTAGAGTAGACAGTATAGCAATGGAAAATTAGATTTATACATAACACATAACTTGATATCACAATAACTCAATATGTTTTGTTTATTATATAAATTTGATTTCCTACATAATTCCCTTGCCGAATCAAGTCATTTCGTTACACAAATAACTAATTGTATGTACATGTGCACACACATAACTGATTGTATGTACATGTGCACACACATAACTAATTGTATGTACATGTGCACACACCTAACTGATTGTATGTACATGTGCATACACATAACTGATTGTATGTACATGTGCACACACATAACTGATTGTATGTACATGTGCACACAAATAACTAATTGTATGTACATGTGCACACACCTAACTAATTGTATGCACATGTGCGTAAGTGGTGGCCGAATCGACAATGATTTGCGTGGACAACATATTTGATACCTTTGTGTGCATACGCTTTACTGGTCATTTGTCTGATGAAGGTGATAGAATACGTATAGTACAGTCATCTAAATGTCACATATAAACACTTATTAGTTGTGCTACATTAATCTTTTCACAATACCTACATGAAAGTTTTTCATTTTTCATACCACTTTATCTGGTCGTTCAATGTAGTTTTTCAACTTATGCAACATAATCTATTTTGGGTTTTTCATAATTATGAAATGTATTGTAACAAGAAAATCTTTGTCCTAGACCCTGAGGGATGCCCTTTGCAAAATATAGTTAATCTCCCTCCAGCCATATTGTACATGTAGTCTTTTAAAAGAAAAGTTGATATCACAGACATTAAAAGAAATGACATTAGACAACAAATGACACTAGATAGTATATGTTTTTGGCCAGGTAAGCTAATAAAACATCTTCTATATATGATATGAATTTTCACGGCTACATTATTTGAATTATCCAACATGAAAACTGTTGAAATATTAAAAAAAAAAAAAAATGTACAGCATTAATGATTCTGTTTTGTCAACAGTTACCTTGAGGTCGGGTCTCTGGTGGTCGAGTTCTACTGTTTGGCAGAACTTCAGTAACCTCAGTTGATCTTGCTCCATCATCGGGTTGTTCTTTGTCAATGAGGCAGGTCTCAGCATGATGCTGCATATGGACAACATTTTGGTAATTCTGCTGCCTAGATTCTTGCCTCAACATGCTTGCCATGTAGCTTTCATTGGCTGTTCCATTCACTGGATGCAGGTTGTTACCTGGAACTGGCAATTCCGCATCCATTTCAGTACGAGGTAAATCGGGACGTACAGATGAGTATGCACTACTCTCGTTGAGGGTCTCTCTGCGAGGTTGACCTCTAATGTTATTTGAGTGTGGCATATCTTCTTGTAGATATGCATAAAAGGCAAAAAGTAACAGACATAATAAAATTAATAAAATGTCTTTGTCAGTTGGTTGAATAGATCTAGAATTGGTTGGAGGTGGGTCAGAGTCATCAGGAACAGCTTCAACATCGTCTACTACTAAGGAATCTTCTGTGAGATCAATATTGAAACAGGCGTTTGATGCATCTGGTATTAAATCCATCTCATCATTCTTGCTGGTATTGATAGGAGAGGCACTATTGGCCAAGGCAGGATTCAATTCTGGGGTAATGGAACAGCTCAAAGGCATATCTTGATCTGAATTGTTGTCAGAGGTACCAATTGGTACCTGGGGCTCCATATCTTGATCTGAATCTGTCCTTTGCGATTTGTTGTCATCCTCTTCAAAGACAGTAACACCTCCTATAGGCCTTGTACTTGAAGCCATTCTGTGAGTAAAGTAAACATTCTGTGAGTAAAGTAAACAGAGACAATTGCTTCAAAATAATGTGTCACTCAATTTGAAGTATTATCTGTACATTTAGTAAAAATGACAGGTTTTAAACCCTAAAATCTACGTAATAAGACTAAATTGACTTAAATATAAAATTATTCCTAAAATATTAATGTTTATAAGTATTCCCGGTAACACAATACTATAAAAAATATTAACAGGTTAAAGCAGATTTTCTGCTATATATGAATGGACGGAATAATTAATTGAAAAATTCAAATTTAGCTGTAACCATAACATATAATTTACTGCTTTACATTATATGTTTGGATTGCAATGTTAAAATTAATTCATGATATGTAAATGTTTGTTTTAAACCTGATGAACACTTTATATCTGTGTCAATGAATTATCAGTATAGCACTTACAGACAGCTCTTGATCACACCTGTGTGCTGTCACCAGGCAACAGTAGCCCCCAGGGCCCCTGGATGTCCCCACAACTTCATCGCTGACAAAGTCAGATCTTATTGCGACGAGTACCCTACCCCATTTCTTATCCACATTTGACATTCGATCTTTCCGAAATACTTTAAAGTTATCTGGTATAAATTCTGAGTCTTTTATTGATGGATCAAGCCATGTTTCTGTTCTGAATATTACATCAGACTTGGTACTTTTGAGTAGGTTTAGGAAGAGATGTTGCTTAATTTTCACTGACTGGAAATTTACATTCAGAACTTGCAGGGGCTTTACATTTTTTTGTTTGGCCATGTTGTTTCTCCGTCGTACCGGAGTCGAGGCGTGAAGGGGTCTATTTGTCATAGCATTGCTTTATAATGTTGAAGCTACCGTCCGTGGGACTCATGATGTTATTGAGCGTATCATAACGATTTGATGTGCTGATGCCATGTACACATGTAGATCGTAAGCTATTGAGCTGTAATTTGGTTGGTCACAAATAATACAATACCAGCTCACCATGCTATAATTGAGGTCCTGGTAAGTATTACTATGGATATTTTGGCAGCTTGTATGGTACCATTGATCATATGACTCGCACACAATGCCTCGGTGTTCCCAGGTCACTAGGTTGTCGCATGGGTATTTGGTTATATCGGCCCAAGGTAATATCGGCCAGGCCTATTTTACCCAAGTGAAATCGGCCCAAGTTAAAATCGGCCCTACTATGTATCTATATGTTAAATACATGGGATTTATACATTTATTATACATTAAAGGATTTAATTAATTACGTACTGTTGTTGTTGTTGTTTTGATTTTATTGCCTTACACAAACAATGATGTTTGCCTACCAGACTGTTGTTATAGGTGAGTATAGCTCATAATTAACTCTCGAGTACCTCATCACCGCCTCAACTCCAGGTAGCCAATCAAATGTATTGATCACTCACGCAAATGGTGATAAATATGACTGGTTTTCTTGGACAATCACTTTCAATCGACTTACATCATTTGAACAACACTTTGCACCTAATCAACATGAGCGACAACTGTCTACATTGTGACCGTGTGATGAGGCCGAGGCAGCATGCGTTGCAGTGCGACACATGTAGCAGATGGCAACACAGGACATGTGATACTGGTATGTAATTTTAATATAGATTCCATTGATGGCCGAAAAATATGGTTTCGTTTAATAAAAAATACGAAAATTCTTTCGGCCATAATAGGAGTAAATTCTTAATCGTTATTAAAGTAACTAGATTTCATTAGATACTTTTAGCCCATTTGTAAGTACAATTATATAATTATATAGTTTCTTTAAATATGTATATTTCATTTATGGCCGAAATATGGTTTCATTTGATACTAGCGCTCGTACAAAATACATGTACGGGCACCGAGTATCTAATGAAATCATGTTTCTCATAAGCATGTACACGTATGTCGATATTTGATTTTATTAAATATTATATTTCCGCTCCCCATAGCATCGGCGGTCATATACTGTTTGATAAAGTCAAATTGTGTATGTTCGTGTACATGAAGGCCGAAACTATGATTTTATTAAGCATGTACACGTAAGTCGACACCTTTTTAAAATAACTTTTAAATTTTCATTGTAGGTATATCTCTTGAGATGTACAGAGCCACCGTCCGAGGCAAGGGAAATAGTGCGGTGAATAGGACAAATAGTGTAGGGCAGAGAATCGAATAGGACAAATAGTGCAGGGCAGTGAATAGGACAAATAGTGTAGGGCGGTGAATAGGACAAATAGTGTAGGACAGTGAATAAGACAAATAGTGTAGGGCAGTGAATAGGGCAAACATTATTGATCATTTTGAACTTTAGATATAAAAATATATTTTGAGACATCAACTAAACATTTTGGCTCTTAAAGAGGAGGCCTCCACGTGGCAAGAGCTGGTAACGATGTATCCAGTTATTAAAGAAAAACAACTGTATGCATCGGCTAACTTCCTCATTAATCATATAAAAAAAATCATTCCAATAGTTAAATCTAATTAAATGATGTCAGTGTTTCAGATTACACACAAAACAGATTACATTAGTATAGGTTACCTCCCCTTGTTGAACTTGCGACTGAGACAAGGAAATGCAGAAAGGAATTTATTAATTTAAAGATATATGTTCAAGAGGTTGATATATAAATGAAACCCAAAGAAAGGGATTATTATAACATTTATGTATATTCCATGTATACATAGGGCCGATTTCATTTGGGTAAATCGAGGCCGTTTTTACCTTGTGCCGATAATAACCATAATATATATTTGGTGCTGTTATTACTTGGGCCCGGGTTTGTTTCTACATCATTAGATTGTACAATAACAAGTAACAGTAAGAGGTGTAATAGCATACTGGGTCTTAATTTGGATAGTAATGTTCTGGGTCTGAATAGGTTGTACATCATGAGTAGTTTGGGCTTATCAGATATTAGCTGCGATAACGCAGCTTTCTGACGACGTGAGATTTTTTTTATATATTGCGGGGCAGAGGAGGCCGGGTATTAATATTAGTACTAATCAGATATATCTACATATATTGGTTTGAACAAGAACATAGGATAGCTGCGCTCGAATAGGGCAGACGTAACTGTTACATCATGTATACTGTAGCCTTTACTTTCTAGCACCATGGGAGGCATCGTTTGCGTACCTGTTTCTCATGTTGGTGTGATATAATACAGTTGTTACGTCAGTAGCGGATCACTCGGCGAAAAAACGATCCACACAATTTCTGAGAACAGGGTTACCACAAACATTGTATATTTATAGAATCTACAAAGTATATCCTTTCATGTCATATTAAAATAATGTATGAACATTGACCATATAAAACAAAATTAACAAAACAAAGCCTACCGTTTTTGTGTCTATAACGGATCACGTTTGTCTATAACGGATCGCGCCCCCTGGTGGGCCTCTGACGGTGATGCTCGATTGCTGGGTGGTCTCAAAACATTTTTCTGTCAGGTAAGCGACCCAATAGATACACGGACAACTTTAAAGACGATATCTTAGTTAAACGCTTTTGCTCAACTGCTAAGTAAAATACAAATTCTTTTCCGAACGTCGGTCTGCTCAATTGTCCATGGGGTTCCAATTAATGAAACAAAATTGTATAACGTCACACTACCACAATTCTGAGAGTTTTGGACTGATATTGAAACTTGTTTGTATTTAAACTAGTTGAGGTGCCGACATCCTTGATATCCAGGGGTTACGCTCATTTACGCTCTCTACACCCCCTGGAAAATAGAAGACTCAGTGTGCGCCACCTTGTTGATGAGACAAGAAGACTAGTTCGACCCTTTGATGTACATCAAAAGAATCTCTCGGTCACGTAACGGTAAAAATTGACAGGTTTTGAAGTCGGTCATCTCAGTCTCCTTTGTAATCTTCAAAGGACAGGTATCAGCCTAGCGATTGGTCAGTATTTTTTACCTGAGACAAATCGTGCCTTCAGTTTTGCTATGACATATTCCAGGGTGTAGAGAGCGAAAGTGAGCGTAACCCCTTGCATGTATCAAGGATGAGGTGCCGTTTGCAACAAAGACCAGAAATCAACATTGAAACATGCTTATAATAAACATATTCAAAATCCTCCTAAATTTCGTCTACGTGTACGTTGTTTTTACTGGCTTTCTGATATGTTTACTTTGTCATCGTGTACTCTTAAAATGGTCCGTTTTCATGATGACTTTTGGTTATATGCTATATGTAATAACACCAATTCACTCAAAAGAAGGGACTTCAATAGTATATGTAAACTGAAAATGTATGTCTTTTTTATAATCCATAAATGAAGAGTATATAAAACAAAACAAAAAGGAGGAAAAAACGATGTCGACGCTTTCGTTTAAAATTGTTTGTGTTTTTTGTATTCATTGATATTGCTTTTCCAAATTTCAGGAGAAGTTTCGTGTGTCTACGAATCCTGTACGTAGTGCTAATGATGTGATGTCTGATACAGCGTAAACACATTAAACAACTGTTTTAATTAAGTATGCCTTTCTACTACCCACTG